CTTCCAAAAAGGCAGGGGGCGGCGGTGATTCGCCGCAGGCGTCTTAGATCCGCCGCCCCCTGTCGATTCATCGCAGGGGTGCCTGGCGTGCTAAATCCTTTTGGTCTTAGTTTTGGTTCGTTTTCCAAACAAGCCCCCTCTTTTTCTGGAACTTCGGCCCGTCCCGCCGGCCACCCGAAAAGGTGCTCAATCCCGGCAAAATCCCCCAAGACGGCTCAAGACGGCCTCCAAGATGGTCCAAAATGGCCCCGAAGACGGCCCAAGATACACCCAAGACGGCCTAAGATAGCCTCAAGATGGCCCAAGCGCCCCCTAAGAGGTCTCCAAGACAGCCCAAGAGGCCTCCAAGAGGTCCTCCAGGAAGGCCCGAAGAGGCCCAAATCATTGATTTTCTTTAGTTGTCAAAAGGATTTTGGCATGTTCGCCTGTTCGGCCTTCCGACGGCCCAAGAGGCTCCCAAGATCGCCCAAGAGGTCTCCAAGATGGCCCCCTGACGGCCCAAGAGGCCCCCAAGATGCCCTCAAGAGGGCTCCAAGACGGCCCAGGAGGCCTCCAAGACGGCCCCAAGAGGACCCCAAGGCGGCCCAAGAGGCCCCCAACACGCCCAAGATGGCCTCCAAGACGGCTAGGATGGCCCCAAGATGCCTCCAAGACGGCCCCAGATGCACCCAAGACGGCCTGAGATGGTCTCCATATGGCCTAAGACGGCCCAAGAGGCCCCCAAGAGGCCTCCGAGACGGCCCAAGAGGCCTCCAAGAGGTCCTCCAGGAGGGCCCAAAGAGGGCAACATGTTTGATTTCCCTAAGGTGGTTGATGGATTTTGGCATTTGCATCGTTTCTGCATTCCGACGGCTCAAGACGGCGCAAGAGGCCCCCAAGATCGCCCATGAGGCCTCCAAGATGGCCCCATGACGGCCCAAGGGGCCCCCAAGTCGGCCCCCATGAGGGCCCGAGAGGCCTCCAAGCCGTCCAAAGAGGCCTCCAAGACGGCTAAGACGGCCCCAAGATGCCTCCAAGATGGCCCAAGATGCACCCAAGACGGCCTAAGATGGCGCAACACGGCCCAGGAGGCCCCCAAGAGGCCTCCAAGGTGGCCCAAGAGGCGTACAGGAGGTCTTCCAGGAGGGCACGAAGAGTCCAACACCATTGATTGCCCAAAAATGTTTGAAAGATTTTGGCCACTGCTTCTTCTCGGCATCCCGACGGAAGAGGCCTCCAAGATGCCTCCATGACGGCCCAAAAAGGCCCGCAAGACGGCCCCAAGAGGGCCCCAAAACGGCCCAAGAGGCCTCCAAGACGCCTAAGATGGCCTCTAAGAACCCCTAATATACCCCAAGAGGGCCCCAAGACGACCTAGATAGGCCTCCTAGACGGCCCCCGACGGCGTCAGACAAGCCCTAAGGTTGCCAAAGAGGCCCCCAAGAAGCCCCCAAAGGCCCCCAAAGAGGCCTCCAAGAGGCCCCCAGGAAGCTCCCAGGAGGCCCCAAGAGTGCCCCAAGACCGCCCAGGAAGCCTCCTCCTCCTCCTCCTCCTCCTCCTCCTCCTCCTGCTCCTCCTCTTTTTTCCTCCTCCTCCTCCTCCTCCTCCTCCTCCTCCTCTTCTCGCTCCCCCACGCGTTCCCCGAAGTCTTTCCAAACCGACTCGGGGAACAACTGGCCCGATAGCTTGGCCAAGCTCTGGCCCAGCTGTCGGCCACAGAGGCGCTTCCAAAGGGGCAGGGGGCGGCGGTGATTCGCCGCAGTCGTCTTCGATGACAAACAACTGAACATGCTTCAGAGATCATCACGTCTATACCGTAAAGCGTCCCGTGCGTCGCAGATGCAGTATGCTCAAAACAATTCCCTGGAACATCTACACACGCCCCGGACGGCAATCCACACGTCCTACGGTGCAGTTGCAAATGAAACAACCGGCCCGTACCAGCAGGATGCGCGACGAGGAGGCAAGGGCCTCGGACGCCCGTGTCGAAGCTTTTTCGAGCGTGGCGCGGGCCAACGCAAGCGGCCAAGCATGGGCCGAGGACGCAAGGATGCAGGGGGTACCCCTTTGGGACGGCTGCCCATCCGTACCTTAGCTGCCCCGATACGCAACACGCAACACGTACCGTATCGATACGGAGCTCAACACGTAGGCTGAGCACGTAGGTCCGACGCGACACACTCGCCAAAACGCGGTCCAATACGTGGAGCCAACACGCAACGTATTGACACGGACGTCTTGAGCACGGGACTTATTGCGTTTCAAAACGGGCGTATCGAGGCAACTAAGATCCGTACCGTATGCGGGATGACATGACCGCTGGGGGCCCCGTGAGAGGCTCCATGGGGGCCTGCGGAGACCCCCGCTGCCTTCTGGGCTGGGTGCCCAAGACCAGCCCGAACCCTCGATCCTCGCACACCCTCTGCAACTCCTCGAACATCCCCGAACATCCTCGAACCCAAATCCTCGACCCTCGATCCTGGATCCTCGAACATCCGTGAAGCTTACCGTCGGGGCGTTGACCCAAGGAACCCAAAATAAGGAACGAGGCCCCTTTTCTCCAGAAGTTCAACTTCGACTTCCCCTCGAAAACCCAAGGACAACCTGGGGCAACATGTGAAACAATGAAGGATCACGGAGCCCCTCTCCAATGAAAAGGGTTCCTCATTCAGAGCCCCGACTGTAGGGCGACAGCGGCTCCAGCGGTCTCCACAGCAGCCGCCCCCGTGCGACGCGTGGCCGGCTCCGCGCGGCCTCCCGCCCCCGACGGGCGCGCGGCCGCCCGAGAGAGCCCTTGTCGGGCGCGCGCAGACCGAGACGGAGACGGTTCGGCGCCAGTTTTAATGCGTTGAAGCTCGGTCGCCCTTCCCCCCTGAGGTTATTTAATTCTTAATACCTTGGGCGTGTTCCTGCGAAGGCGCAGGTCGCAGTAGGGTTTCATGAGACCCACTGTGGTAAGGCATCAGAGGCATCAGAGGCATCAGAGGAGGCGGAGGAGGAGGAGGCGGAGGAGGAGGGGAGGGGAAGATGCGACGGACACATCGCCCGGGGATGCGACGGAATACCCGGGGAGCACAGATCGCCTCTCCCCCCCGCACGCCGCAGGCCAGGCATGCCTGTCTGCCGCACTGCTCCGCGGGTTCGCCTGCCCGAGCTCCAGGGGCACGCGCCCGCCACGCTCTCCCCGGGCTGCGGCTCGCCACCCCTCCTGGATCCGTTCCTGACGGCCCCGAGGCCCGAACACGACCCCGAGGAAGAACAAACACTTCTCTCAGGGGGACGTAAGACCTGGGTACAGGGGACTCGGAAATCCCCGACGAGGTCGTCAAAAAAATGACGAGGCCGAGCCTGCATTTTGAGGAGGCCTCCCGCTGCAGACATCCCACGAAACTCCTCCTCGTCAAAATCCGAGGCGCAGTCGTCAAAAAACGATGGCGAACCCGAGTCCTGGCAAACCCAGGTCTTACGCTCCCCCGATTCTCGGGGCCCAGTACCTCTTGGGAACCCCCAAGCCGGGTGGTGAGATACCAGGTGGCGACCCGGAATCCCCAGAAAGGTCACCGCTGGGTGTGGGGACACGGGGTCACCACCGGGTTTTGTGACTCCTGGCCCCACCAGTGTTCGGGACATCCTCGGAAAACCGCACGAGTCCCCAAACCGGGTGGTGACACCAAATCGCCCGAGACTCACCGCCAGGTGCTGTCACCACCACGTTTGGGGACTACCGAACCTCGACTCGAGCCTGCCCCCCTTCCTGCGGGCGGGAACCGGTGCTGGGCCACCTCGGCCGACTTCGAGCCTCGAGCAAACCCAGAGACGGCAACTGTTAACTTCTGCGACCAGGGGAGAGATCGCCACTGTTCTCATCACCCGAGTGACATTCTGGGCCCCGCAGATGTTCATCTCAGGCGATGCGAGCAACAGAAAGGAGGTCGGGGAGTCTCGGGCGGGGCCTCGGGAGGGGGGCGGCAGGAGGGGGAGGAGGAGGAGGAGGAGGAGGAGGAGGAGGAGGAGGAGGAGGAGGAGGAGGAGGAGGAGGAGGAGGAGGGGGAGGGGGAGGGACGGACCGACGGGGCGGGGGCGCGGGGGCCTTGAACTCGTGCAACACCACCGCGCCGTCCGGGCCCTTCTTGGCCTCGTTGACCTCTCTCTCTTCTCTCTCGCTCCTCCCCGCTCGTGTACGACGCAGGCAGGACGATGATGACTTCGGACGGCTGCGCTCACGTCGGACGTCTGTGAGGGATGGCGGATCGCGCACCTGGGGGAACTATATCGGGCGCCGCGGCCGTTCCAGGGCGCTCGGGAGCGCTCGCAGAGCGCTGCGGGACGCTCCAGAAAGATGCATCCGCATCCCAAGCCTGTCTGATCTCTCCCGCTCGGAGGAGGAAGGAGGGGGATCGACTCGCGGAGGCGATGCCTCTCCGGGAAGACTGCGACACGGCAGCGCCGAGGGGCCCAGTGCACATCACGTCCACCACCGTGTGTTGCCACGCTGGGGCGTGTTAGAATGCTCCTCTGCTATCAAAGGCACGGTCTCTTTCGCGTTTTCAAAGGGCGCCCCCCTCCCCCCTGGACCTTCGAAAAAGCCCCCCCGTCTCTGGAGCTCATGTTGCGCAATTTGCCGAAAAAAAATAACGAACTGGAGAGGCTCTGGCCGAATAGAGGCCCTGGCACAGCGCCCAAACAGCCCAGATCAGCACTGGCCGCAAACCGCCCCAAGACAGCCCAAACAGCCTAAAGCCGCCCCGAGTCAGCCACG